GTCTATGCCAGTCAGCATCTCTAGGCCTATCAACGGGGCCTGATCAGAAAGGCGGGGCTGATCAGCAGCCCCGGTGGAGGCCTGGAGAGAAATGGAGGCATGGCTGCTAGTCCGACCAGGAGAGAAAGAGAGAGGCAAGTGCTGATCAACAGCTGCCACACAGGCTACAGATCAGACCCTGCTTCTCTCTTCAGGCCTCTCTCTGGGCCTGATTCACAGCCCCCTCAGCAGTCAGTGCTGGGTCGCCACAGCAACCCAGCAGTGACTGCAGGTCTGACTTCCAGTTGGTCAAGCCTCTGGTGGTGATGGACCCAGGGTTTTTATATATTAGGATTTGTTGAATAATTTGCACTGGTTTGTGTAATTGAGGTCTTTTGAATGCTTTGGGTCTTTAAAACTCTTCTGAACCACTAAAAGTAAAAATTGCTATCATAAGTTACTTTGGAGATTCTTGCCTTGGTGATTGTGAAAGGGAGAAAACAACGTAACTTTATGGTATTTTGGTAAGTACTATGTGTTTAGTTTGCATAAGATTAGATGTATAATGAATTTGACTAAGTATTTTACCAGCTCCAATTTTTATTTGTAGGTGTACTTATCTAAAATTACTATATTTCTGAGTGGCTTATGTTAGTTTTCAACAGGTAATTTTTATTTCCCCTTCTTTTTTAAATTTTTTTTTAAATAAACAGGATTGCTTCACAGTGGAGGGGGAGGATTTGAAGCATGACTTTGAACGCTTACAACTGGCCATGGAAATGGTAGGATTTCTTCCCAAGACACAAAGACAGTGAGTTTATTTATTGTTTTTATATATCTTCAACAGAGAACAAATTATGATTTGTGTTTAAGAATTCCTTTTTCTTGGTCCTTTGAGACACTTTTATTATAGTCCTGATTTAGTGCCTTTTCCTTCTTAGGTGTGGCTTAGAACATTTATTTTTCTAAAAGACTTGTTTTGAATTGTTTTTTTGTCAAAAATTCTTTGAGATATTTTGAAAATCCGTTGAAAGCCCAGGAGCTCTTCTTCCTGTACAATTTATATTTACAACCATTTGCATATAATTGCAAGAGTTTCTGGTGTCCCTGAAGCCTCTTCATGAACCTTATGTAAACACTGTTGCTTTATAACACTATTTTTATAGCTTTTTATTTTCTATATCATTGATCTCTAAGCTTATTAAAGCTCACATACCTATCAGTAAAACATAATTTCCATATACTTACTCTTTAAAGTTATGTCTGTACTATTGTACTAAACATTTTGTTTATTGTATTAAATATGTTGAACTAAAATAAAATGTAAAAAGGTTGAGATAAAGATGAAGTAAGCAATACATAAGATAAACTATTTCAAATTAAAGACACAAATAACCTTGACTCTCACCAGAAAAATAATTGTAAACATTACTAATTTTAAAAAAAGTTTATTGATTTTTAGAGAGAGAGAAAGAGGGGGAGAGAGAGAGAGAAACATCAATGATGAGAGAGAATCATTGATTGGCTGCCTCCTGCACGCCCCCCTACTAGGGAAAGCCTGTAACCCAGGCATGTGCCCTTGACCGGAATAGAATCTGGAACCCTTCAGTATGCTGTCCAACACTCTATCCACTGAGCCAAACCTTTTAAACGAGATTTTCTTTAACTGTACATTGTTTCTGCTTCTGTGTTTTTAGGTATCCTGCCTTACAGTATGGTTATTGTTATCTCCAAATGGAAGATTATAAGCTTTTTGAGAACTAGTACTCTTATTTATATTTATTAATCTTTTTGATATTGAATTATAGTATATTGATTTGCTTATATGATGTTTCTTATTCCTGGAGTCTATGCATTACATATTTGTGTATGAGGAAACATTAATGTGCTGATTTTTGAACCCAAAGTTCTGAAAGAATGTAATTACCAACCATAGAAACTACTGCAAAAACAGTTTTTAAAAATGGCTCAGGCCTGGCTGGTGTGGCATGGTGTTTGAGTGTCAGCCCATGAACCTGGAGGTTACAGTTTGATTCCCAGTCAGGGCACATGCCCGGGTTTCGGGCTCAATCCCCAAAGCGGGTGTGCAGGAGTCAGCCGATGGATGTTTCCCTTTCATTGATGTTTCTATCTCTCTATCCTTTTCCCTTCCTCTCTCTAAAATCAATAAAAAAAATTTTTAAGAAATGGCTCAGTAATTACTGTTTGTATATCTTTTGACTTCCATTTATTTTTATAATATTTCACTTGATACTAAGTTTCCTCTTTAATTTAACCAAGTCTAACTTTATGACTTAGTCCTTTATAATTGAGTTGTTTTTTGTTTGAATCATTAAACATTTTTAATTATTTAAGAAATTAGACCTATAAATTAGATGTTGACTCAGGACCTCTAAAAATATAGCTGTAGGTCTCTAAAGAAGTATCTTTGTTTATTTAGAATACTTCCTAATTTTAGTAAAACACATAGTGTAAATTTCTTAAGTAAGGACAAATTTATCCTAAAGAAATAAAGTGGTCAAGGCACAAATATATGTATATATCTGAATTTTTCAGAAATGGCTCTTAGACAGATTTGTGTTCAGTTTTAGATGGTCAGTTGTGTTAAATGCCTTTGAGATGTCAGGTAAGTTAAGGAATAATATGCTTTTCTTAGTTATATGGAAGTCCTTGGTAACCTCTATGAGACATTTTAGATGCCAGAATGTGATTGTAAAAAGGGATGACAAAGTAAAGACAAGGATTTATAAGTCAGTCCTTATTAGTATGCTTGTTTGTGAAGGGGAGGAAGAAGATGTGGAATCTAGGATGGTTTTTTTAAAGTAAGAGAGAAGTGAACATGAGATTATTTTGATTAAAAATTCTTATAGGTTTAGGTGAGTGATACAAAAAAAGTATAATAATGTATCCCAGCAAACTGGAGTTCATGGGATGGAGAGCGCAAGTAGAGGGATTAGTTTGCTGACTGGAAGAGGGGCATATGTTCCTCAAAGACTGGAGGGTGGGGGGGAAGAGAAAAAGGAGGGCCTAGATGTAAATGTCTCACAGTTGGGGCCTAATATTAGATAATGTACCCCAATGGCCTCAGGCTGTTTTAAAAAAACATTTATCAAGGGTACCATCATATGATGTAGGAAAACCTTTTTTTAAAAAAAATTTATCTTTATCATTGAAAGTATTACAGATGTCCCATTGGGCTCCTCTACCTTGTTCCAGTCACCGTCCTGGGCCTTCCTCCACACTATTGTCTGTCCATGGGCCATGTATATCTTACATAATAAAAGCCTAATATGCTAAGTGTCCAGTCATCCGTTCAACCAATCAAAGCATAATATGCTAATGATATGCTAAGGCCTCTCAACCGCTCGCTATGACATGCACTGACCACCAGGGGGAGACAATAGACCAGTTGACCAGTCGCTATGACATGCACTCACCACCAGGGGGCAGACAGTCAACTGGTCAACCAGTTACTATGATGTGCACTGACCACCAGGGGGCAGACGCTCCAACTTCCAACTGGTAGGCTAGCTTGCTGCTGGAGTCCAGCCGATCGGAACTGAGCGAGATGGGCCGAACATACCCTAGAGCCCTCCCGCGGTCCCTCCCCGGCTAGCCAATCTCTCGTGTCCCTCCCCAGCCCCAGTCGTGTACTGGTGGGGTCCCTTGGCCTAGCCTGCACCCTCTTGCAATCCGGGACCCCTTGGGGGATGTCAGAGAGCCGGTTTCAGCTTGATCCCGTGGCATTTGGACATCCGCCGAGGGCTCCCGGACTGCGAGAGGGCAAAGGCCAGGCTGAGGGACCCTCCAGCCAAGTGCACGAATTTCATGCACCAGCCCTCTTGTATACATATAAGTTCATTGGTTCTTCTCTCCTTACCGCTCCCCTCTGAAATATGTCAGTGTATTGCATGCTTCAACGTCTCTGGGTCTCTTTTGTTCATCAGTTTAATTTGTTCATTAGATTCCACATATAAGTGAGATCATGTAATACATGTAGGAAAGGCTTTCTTAAATACTAGAGGTCCGGTGCACAGATTTTTGCACTTGTGGGGTTTCTCAGCCTGGCCTGCGCCCTCTTGCAATCCAGGACCCCTCGGGGGATGTCAGACTGCTGGTTTTAGCCTGATCCCTGTAGGCCAGGCCAAGAGACCCCACCGGGCCTCTAGTATGCATAAAAGATCTTTGGTTAATCTCTTCTCACCCTCCCTTCTCCCCTCTTCCCTCAGATTCATCAGTGTGTTCCATGTTTTCATCCCTGTGCGTTGAACGTTTGCCCCCCTGGTGGCTAGTGCACGTCATAGCTACTGATTGAAAGGTCGAACAGTCACTTAACCTTTTATATATATAGATTAGGGGCCTAGTGCAAGTGCATGAAGTCGTGCACCTTGAAAGGAACTGTGGGCCGGGAGGCTATGGTAGGCACAGGGGAGGGTCTCGGCACACCCTCTGTGCCCCCGCCCACCCCTTCTGCCGTAGCCCCTGGTTCCCTATCTGCCAGCAGCTCCGCCCCCACTGTCGCTGCTCCCACACACTGATGGCGCCAGCCCTGCTTGCAACCGCTGAAGGCGCAGAGCAATTGTGGCTAGCGCCAGCAGCAGGTGCAAGCAGCAGCTGCTGTTCCGATCTCCCCTCAGGAGCAGGAGGAAGTGGAGAAGCCCTGAGGGGCGATTGGGGCCAGTAGCGACTGCTCGTACCTGCTGATGGTGCTGAGTGATCGGGCCTGGCACCGGGCGCGAGCAGTGGGTGCCAGCGGCGGCTCCAATGCCAGCAGCGGGTGCAGGTGGGGCCAGCGCCAGCAGCAGGTGCAAGCACCTGGCGGGACTGCGACACACAGGAGCAAAGAATTTTCAGTAACCACCAGAGGCTTGCACTGATGCCAGTGACTGGTGCCCCACCTTGGTCTGGCACTCCTGCTTACCTGCTCCACCATCCCACCGCAGCTGACACCCACTATGTTCCATGCACGCCCTCTGGTGGTCAATGCTCGTCATAGCGTCCGGTTGTTCGGTTGTTCTGCCATTCAGTCTATTTGCATATTAGCCTTTTATTACATAGGATAACTACTAACTGAAAAAAATCACCCAGGATGCGTGGTTAAAAATACAGATTCCAAGGCATGAAACATTGTTATTCAGTAGATCTGAAATAGACAGTGTAGGAAAAGGGCATTCCAGTCAGGATGAAAAGCATTTAGGAACGAATGGACTTTTGAAACACTACAGCAGATTCAGATAATAGCAAGATGTCCCCTTCAGATAACTTTTCTAACAAGTGGTAGGTACAATACTGAAGTTAAGGTTTTTTAAAGCACTTTGCACAGTGACTAAAGTAGTAAACACTCAATAAATTTTATAGTTCTAATTACTCCCATATTTCTTATTTTCTGAAGACTACATTATATTTGTGCTAGTTAATTTGCTTTATTATGATTTTTGGGATGAAATAAGCTTAGAGAATACACAGAAACAAGTTGTAATTTGTAATTTTATTTTTGCAGGATTTTCTCTCTTCTATCAGCAATACTACATTTGGGTAATATCTGTTACAAAAAGAAGACATACCGGGATGACTCCATAGATATCTGTAATCCTGAAGTTCTTCCTGTTGTCTCAGAATTATTAGAAGTGAGTGATTACATTTTTGGTTGTCATTTCAAATACTGGGTAACTTGTCAGTTTTTATTTTGTGGAAGTTTTGTAGGGGTAAATAGGTTAGTGCTTTTTTATTAATAGTGTTTGCCCAAAAGATGGAAATTTTGCTATTGCGTGTGCCACAATGTTTGGAAAATTTGGGTTTTCTACCCTGCCTCCTCTCCCTAGATAGCCATAATCCCTCAATTTGCTGAATAGGATGAATATTTCACTCAAGATGGCATAATATTCTAGGCCTTTACTACTTTTTCTTCTATATTTCAGATTTCTTCTCATGTTAAGACTTTGTTTAGATTGTTTTATTTGAAGATGGGGTGCCTGGATGGATGGGGAGAAAAGGATACTAAATTTTCTTTCTTCATAGTTATATAGAAACCTACGATGCTCTTTCCATAACAAGGTCTTTATTACCTTACTAGGGGCCTGGTGCACGAAATTCGTACACGGGGTTGGGCCCTTCAGTCCAGCCTGCACCCTCTCCAATCCGGGACCCCTCTGGGGATGTCCTACTACCTCTTGCAATCTGGGACTGCTGGCTCCTAACCGCTCGCCTGTCTGCCTGCCTGATTGCCCCTAACCCCTCTGCCTGCCTGATAGCGCCTAACCACCTCTGCCTGCCTGCCTGATTGCCCCTAACTGCTCCCCTGCTGGCTGGATCGCCCCTAACCACCTCTTCCTCACCCCGCACTTGGGACCCAGAATTCCCTCCTCCAGCCAGTCGCAGGCACCCAGGACTTGGGCTTCCTTCCCTCTGGTTGACTACAGGCACACAGGACCTGGGCCGGCTTTGCCTGGGCCAGCCACAGCTGCAGGGGACCGTGGATGGGCGGCTTCTTCTGGCCACAGCCGCACGTGCCTGGGACCATGGGACGTGCGGCTTGTCCCTCTCCCAGGCCGCAGCCTGGCTGGTACCCATTCCTCTCTTGCGAGCTCATTTGTGCCTGGCTGGTCCTCATTCCTCTCTCCCCAGTGTTGAGTGTCTGAGCCATTATTGCGTGACGTCGTGAGGGTGTGATGCCATTTGTATATTAGCTCTTTATTATATAGGATTATATAGGATTCTTTATGTAGTGATGATTTTTCAAGCTTCCCAGCTAACTTCTCGTCTTGCCAGATTCATTTTGAAAGGGATATCATTTTTCACAGGCTCTCTCCTATGACAGAGTAAGGAAATATATGTATGTATACTAACCTAAGTATATTCATATATCTACAAATATTTTTTGTCTAGCCTATTTAATAAAAGAGAAACATGGTAATTGGCGTACGACTGCTACCCTTCCCATTGGCTAATCAGGGCGATATGCAAATTAACTGCCAGCCAAGATGGTGGCCGGCAACCTGGCAGCTGGAAACTAACATGAGGCTTGCTTGCTTCAGTGACGGAGGACTCCAACGTTCCCCGCCTGCTGCTGCAAACCTCTGAGCTTCAACTCTAAGCA